CACCCTTTATTCAGCTGAATGGAAGAAGTAATTAAGATCATTTATGGAGAAAGACAGCAGAAGACAATGGAAGCCACCACCCAAAGCAGTAGGCCACATGCAAGGTTGATCAGCAGCTAAGCCATGTTGGCAGAAGGGTTTCCCTGGAGACTGACTGAAATGTTGGGGCATTGACTGGCTGTAGCTGTGTGTGTGGGCGGCAGAAGGGCAGGAAGACAATAAGAAAAAGTGAACAGAAAGGGTGAGCAGTCATCATGAGTATGGCCCTTAGAGGGAACAGAGGGAGGGCTCTTTGGGAGACTAGACTGGCTGCAAAGGCAGGCTTGGAAACGGCAAGCCAGGAAACTGCCCACTCTTATGTGTTCCTTCTGTGTTCAGGGAAACAGGACTTTATGTACATTCTTTGTAAATAAACATGATTGAACCAAATACCTAACTCATATTATCAACCTCCCCCCTAGTTAAAGCAACCCAAATATTGGCTAACCACTTGAGCCAAAGGGACAATAATACTAGATATTTCACAGAATTATATATCTGCTTAATTTTCATTGTACCTTTAAATGCATGCTGCCAACTCCTTCTAGCAGTAAGTTACCATGGAAAGTAGGAGCCCAGTCCTCCAGGTACTGAGTGCCCTCAGCTCCCCTTGACCTTGCACAAGGCCCTCAGCAACGCATAGAAAAAGGTCCTATGGACCTGGAAGCTCAAAAGAGATGTATATAAGATAGCTAACTAAGAAAAAATGTGACCCAAACCAGATGATATTGCCATCCTATGGGGCCCTTTCCAACTCATTTTATTCCAGCATGTGACAGCTCCCATAGCAAATATAAAACAAGCTTTCCTCCAGTCAATAGCAGGGCTTAAAAAATCCAATCACCTACTCACAGTAGCCTGTGGAAAACTTATTTTTTCAACCTGTGAACAGGCAGCACCAGTCCCCCTTCCCCGCTCACAGATTTTGAAAGCAGCTGCACTGTGAAATTAACAAGACTAGTCAGTTTCACGACTACCATTCAGAACTACACAGTGACCACAAATGTGGTCACTTCACTGCCTTTTTCCAGCAAGCAGGGATAGCAGGGTAAACTATGCTTCTCAGTAGGGCTTTGGCCCTGGACTCTTCAATGGTATCTCTGCCCTCCTTTTCATACCTGTCTCTAGGTAGTAGGTTTAGTCCTCCATCAGGTCAGAGTCTGGTAAATTTATTCAAACTATGATTCTACACAGCACTAAGATTCCCGCGTGTTAAAATATGACAGAGAAAATTAGTTAAAAGGTTATGGGAATATGGCAATCCTGGGGCTGCTAAATAAAAGGATATTGGTATAGATACCCCCTACTTAACCAAAGGAAAAGATGCAACACATCACAGTTGGGTACGCTGTAATATTGGGCTGCAGAATTCAGTATTTGGAAGCATTCTACTTATAACATGATTAATACACTAATAGATCCCTAAGTTACTCTTGGGGTAAAGTATGCACCAGCCATGCCTGCCTCTTACAGCCATGCACAGCTGGCACACACTTTTCTGTTTTCATTATGTTCTGATCCTAGTATTACACGGCCGTAAGTAGCTTTCTCGTATTGGTCCATAGTTGTGACGAGTGAAATTATTTTTTCTAAATACTGTCCAAGATGATGCCTGGTAAGACTATTTTTCAGATTCTCCACTGAAGCTTTGATCTTTCAGTATAAACATAAGTGTACTTCAGATAAGACTGTTCCCAGTTAAGAACACAGTCAACTTTAAAGAAAACCTATCTGTTCTCAGAACTGAACAAAGTAACTTGAACTATTAGCAAAAGTCCTACGTCTAGTTTATACTTATAACTATTTCAGTTATGGGTGTGATTTTACCAAAAGAGTTATACTAGTAAAAGCCCTAGTGTGCATGCAGTTTCACATATGTAAGATTTAGATTTAAAAAACAAACTAACTAGAAATATACAAAATTAACATGTAACACATTAAATTGATTAAAAGCTGGCTAATTAATAGATCTCAAAATCTAATTGTAAATGGGGAAACACTGGCTCTTGGCCGACACTATTTAACATTTTTTTATTAATAATCTGAAAGAAAAAATAAAATCATCAGTGATAAAGTTTGAACACTCCCCTTACAATGTGTATGATAATCAAGGTGGGCCTTCTCCCCACCCCCCAAAACCCACTTACCAACTTACCAACAGGAGAGTGGGTTTTGGGGGGTGGGGAGAAAACCTGGATTTGTGCTGGAAATGGCCCACCTTGATTATCATACACACTGTAAGGAGAGTGATCACTTTAGATAAGCTATTACCAGCAGGAGAGTGGGGGGGGGGGGGGGGGAAGAGAAAACCTTTTGTAGTGATAAACACCCATTTTTTCATGGTCTGTGTGTATAAAAAACATTTTCCGTGTTTTCCACAGTATGCATTCGATGAAGTGAGCTGTAGCTCACGAAAGCTTATGCTCAAATAAATCGGTTAGTCTCTAAGATGCCACAAGTACTCCTTTTCTTTTTGAGTCTATAAGTATCTACATGGGGAACAAATACTTAATAATGGGCTCCTCAATATAGCAGAGAAATGTATAAAGATACAATAGCTGGAAGTTGAATGTTAGCTAAATTCAGATTGGAAATAAGGTGTAAATTTTTAATAGTGAGAGTATAATTAACCCTTGGAATTTAAAAATTCTGGTGGATTCTCCATCATTGACAATTTTTAAATCAAGACTGGATGTTTTTCCAAAAGATAAGCTCCAGAAATTATTTTTTGGGAAGTTTTCTGGCCTGTGTTATACAGGAGGTCAGACCAGATGATCACAATGATCCCTTCTGTCCTTGGAACCTATGGTATAAACGTGACATATGGTATAGTCAGCGTGGCATAAAGCACCTGTATACCAATATAATTCCATCTACACTAGGGAGATATACTGCTTTAACTATAATTGTGTAGTTAGAGGTACAGCGTTCTAGTGTAGGCAAGCCCGAAATATGAGACCAGCTGACCAATCTGATGAATGCCCAAACAACTCTGGAATTTTAATTTGCAAAACCCTCAACCGCTTGATTTGTGAACATAATACAGTTTAAAAAAAAAAAAAAAAAAAAACAACCACCCCAAGAGGCATGGTTAGGTAGTCTGAACACAGGACTGGGAATCAGTAACTCCAGTGTTCTGATTTTAGAGCTAACATCTCACTCTGTGATTTTAAGCAAGTCAGTAAATCTCTTTGCCTCAGTTTTTCCATCTGTAAAAGGAAGACAATTTGAACCTCCCTCAGAGGATTGTGAGTAATAACATTTTTAAAGTGTTGTGAATATAAAATGTTCAAAGAATTGTTATTGGCCAAGGAAAGTGAGGCCTAATACTCAACTCTATGGCATTTCTCATTGTCTTTTATTGATATGAAACTGATTAAACAATGAAGAGAAGAAGAGCAGCAGATTAGATGATTTAACAATAAAATATAGGCTTCGTGGCACCATTCTGTAAAGTTGCTACAGGTTATGAGACAATGTTACTGTCCTTCTGATTACCACCTGCCAGCTCAGCCTACATAAGCAACGAAGTATGCGACCCTCCAGTCATATACAAATGCTGGAAAATATTTGGTCTACAACTCATAAAACCTGCTTCAAAATTACATTAGATATTTTAGAAAGATAAAGTTTTTGGCAGAAAAGCATCAAAGGATTGCAAGTGTACACTTTTATTTAACAAACTAGAGTAGATTTCTTCTTTTCAAAGACAAATTTATAGTCATAGTTCAGGCAGGTCAACACAAACGATCTAGAGGGAATATGACAGGTGCTGTATTTTCTAGTGGTTAGACCAGCAGCCTTAAAATCCAAAGATCTGGCTCTGCCACCGATTCATGGTGTAACCTTGGGAAGTTCACTTACTATTCCACTTTATAAATAAAGACTTAGTACCTGATTCATGTCCCATATTTATATCAGTATAAGTCAGGAGTAAGTCCACTAAAGTCAACAGAGTCACATTTATAAAACTGGGAAGATAGGAAAAATCAAACCTATGGTCTCTGCCCCCAAATAACAGTCTAAGTGAGTTATGCCATTGATTTAGTATGTTAGCTTGGGGCATGTCACTTAACTTTTCTGTGTTTCAGTTTTTTCAGGTGTAAAACTGGGTTAACAATTCATCTTTGTAAACCACTTTCAGATTTCAGGATGAAAGATTACTCAAATACATGCTGCTATTAATTATTATTATTATTATTCAAACAACTGTTGGGAGATTGAGTTACTCAGATTGGTACACAGATATATAAAGCCTTTCACAGACCGACAGTCTGAATCTAGCACAAATTGTTTATGTTTATGCTAGATTCCAATTGCTTATGTTACATGAAGTGGTGGCATCAATCCAGTACATAGTGACCAATAGCCACATTACTGTTGGATATCTCCACAGAGAGCACTCAATGAGCATGAGGTCCACTGTAGTGGATCCCTTCAAAGCACAGTTAAGATTCATTAACTGGGCAGCACTGGAAATCTAGCACTGCTGCCAGCTCTCCTTAAGTAAAGCACATCTGGCACCTTTCATAAGCACTACAGTAACACAAAAACCTGATCAGCAAAAAAAGGCTTTGTCTACACTAAGAAAACTTTTACTGGTATATTAATGCAGTTATACAGAAGCAAACCCCTTAATGCACTGCACCAGCACAGAGCAGAGTTTACCTTGCTGCAGCTTAATCTAGTAACGCATCAGAGATACAGCAGCATAAATCCACCTTGCATCATCTTACTCATGTAGTATGTACTCACTTACGTACTTACACCTGTGAAAATTTCCTTCATGGAAGCAGAGCCTACCAAGTGTATAGTGATTTCTGTACATTCACCACTGACAGCTCTCTACAGCATAGAGGCCTACATTTCTAACCCTAATAACAGCAAAGCAAACCCTCCAAATGTGACCCAAAGAAACAGAGTTTCCTGTGAGGAAGAGTATCACTGACTTCCCCATGTACCTCCATTTTCAGGCTAGCTGCACTGCAGGGAAATTCACCCTCAGAGGACAACAGGCAGTGTCTTCATGAGTAGGTCTTCACAGAAGTCCGACCAGTAGAGGGTGCCTGGGAAAAAACACCCTCTGCTAAGATGTTCTAGACCACGGGTGGGCAAACTATTTTTCCTGAGGAGCACATCTGGGTATGGAAATTGTATGGCGGGCCATGAATGCTCACAAAATTGGGGGTATGGGATGGGGTGCAGGTGGGGCAGGGGTTTTGGGGTGCGGGCTCTGGTGCAGGGCTGTGGATGAGGAGTTTGGGGGTACAGAAGGGGGCTCCAAGCTGGGATCAAGGGGTTCAGAGGGTGGGAGGGTGATCAGGGCTGGAGCAGGGATCAGGAAACACTTACCTCAAGCATCTCCCAGAAACCGTGGCATATACCCGCTCCGGCTCCTACGTGGAGGCACAGCCAAGGGGCTCTGTGCGCTGCCCTGTCCACAGGCACCGCCCCGCCACTCCCATTGGCCGGAAACCACAGGCAATAGGAGCTGCAGGGGCGGGGCTTGAGGCTGCAGCAGCATGCAGAGCTCCCTGGCTGCCCTTTTGCATAGGAGCTGGAGTGGGGATATGCCAGCTGCTTCCCGGGAGCCACGCAGAGCCATGGCACATGCAGAGCGGGGCAAGCCTCCTACCCTGCTCCCCGGCGGGAGCTCGAGGGCCAGATTATAAGCTCTGATGGGCTGGATGTGACCCGAGGGCTGTAGTTTGCCCACCCCTGTTCCAAACACATCTCCTCCCAAGTTAGTGGTGGCAACTTTCCAGTCTAGGATGACCATATTTCCCAAAAGGAAAATGGGACACCAAATGGAGCTAGCCCAAGCCATCTCACCCCACCCGCGTGGGGCTGGCATCACTGCTCACCAGAGCCCTGCCTGCTGCCCGCGAGGCTGGGGCTGGTGTCGCTGCTCACTCAAGCCCTGCCTGCCCCCCCCCCGCCTGAGGGGTTGGCACCCCCGCTTCCCCTCTCACATTCCTCCACACCACACTTTTTTTGACAAAAGTAGGCATTTGATCAGTTGGCAAGAACTATCAGGAAAAATGCCCACTTTTGCCAAAAAAGTCAGGGCTTAAAAAAGGGACTGTCCCAGCCAAAATAGGACATACGGTCTGCACACCAGCTCAGGCCCCCAACAAAGCAAGTTTGTGAGGGCTTTGCACTGCTGTCATCATGGTTGACTTTTCTTCCACTGGGGACTCCAAAGCCGGAATTACATTGGCAGAAGTCTGAGTAACTTGGGGCTGAAGCCCAACAGCTCTTAAAAAAAAGAAAAGGAAAAAAAAAGTGAAATCCCCTCCTGATCTCTGGTAGTATTGACTCCTAACCTAACTATGCAACACAAATGTCAGTGTTAACTATTTTACTGTGAATCATGTTATAGGAGGATAAACACCTATCTATTCTGACACCATGGGAAAGTTTAGACTTGTTAGGAAAGTTTAGGATTGTAGGTGAAGTCTAAGTACAGTAGCACTTTACTTTGAATCTATTGTGCAATCAATATAGCATACAAATAATATATTGCAAGGCTTTTTGTATCATTCCAAAGCACCAGTTTAATATGGTATTTTAAAATCTGTCTTGAACCTTGGAAAACAGATTAGCTAATGATCTTTTATAAGGAAGTAATCTGAATCATGCTGTAGTGAAATGTGGTAGTGATAGAGCTGAAAAGGCCACAATGAAAAAAGAGGCATGCTTTGGCCATAGAAAACTACTTCACAAATTTAACACAGGCCTGATGCAATATGCAGCCAATCCGCGATTCGAGTGGTACTTCCACAGTAAATAATCAGTCTCCTATCTTACCCCCCCACACCAGCTGTAATAGCTGAGCTGCTATTCAGCGCCGGGCAGCTAAAATCCGAGGCATTTCACTTGAGAGAGGTCTGAGTCGGGAGGCCGGTTGGGAAAGGAGCTACATCAACCGGTGCATCTGCCGGGGGCGGGGAGGCTGCAGCATCGCCCCCCTCGAGAGGCGCGGGGAGCCCCGCGGGCAGGGGCTAGACATGGCGGGGGGGGGGGGGGAGGCGCGATCCCCTGAGCCCAGCTCACCGCTGGGGGCCCCATGGGGGCCCCACGAACGCCCTGCGCCCCGCGGGCGGGGAGCAGCGTTTACCAAGCAGGGCGGAGGCAACAGCTCCTGCCCTGCCCGGATCAGCGCGGTGGGGCCGCGGTGTGACCCGGGGCGGGGCCGGCAAAGCCGCCTGCCCCTCAGGCCGCCCCCCCCGCGCCCGGGGCCGTCGCCGCCGCGAGGGCGAGGTCCCTCAGCACAGGAGGCCGCTGCCTCGCCTCTCCCCGGGCGGGGGGCGGGGGCCCGGCCGCCCCCCGCGGGCCCGGTTACCTGGTTCCCGGGAACACTTTGGAGACGCTTCCAACATCGGCAAACACTAAAGAGAACTGACCCCGCCGCGGCCGCCGCCGGCCCCAACCACTCCGCCCCCAACCCCCGCGCCCGCCGCCGGCCCCGCCGCCTGCCCCCGCGCCTGCCGCCAGGGCCCCCGCCCCCGTGGCCCGCCTCCCCAAGGCCGCTGCCGCTCCCTCGCGGCCCCCGAACCCCGGCGGGGAGGCGCCCGGCGCCCCGCTCCCCCCCGCTGCCGCAGCGCGAATGGCCCCGTCCGCATCCTTTCCCCTGCGCCGCGCCGGCCTGGCGGGCCGCAGCCAGCGCCCCCTAGCGTCAGCTCCGCGCAGCGCAGGGACCGCAGCAGCGTCCGCTCGCTGCAGCCGCCGTTCCCGACTCACCCCAGGGCCGGGCCCAGCCGGCCGGAGAGCGCCCCGGGGGCCCTGCGCCCTGCTCGTGCCCGGCGTCAGAGCCGCTGGGCGGGGCACGACACACGGCCCCCGAGTTGGGCCAGCGCGGCTCCCTGGCTGTGGGGCAGGGGCCGCTGTGCCCGGGCCTCCGGGCTCACGCAGCCACCATTTCGCCACGTGTGGCCTTTAAAGCAGGGCTCCCAATCGAGTCAGAGCCTGGGCTACGTCCGCCTCTCCCCACCTTATGCTAAACAAGGGGGCCCCTGGTTCCTAGGGGCAGGAACAGCCGCATGGGCCTGTCTGCGCAAAAAAAAAAAAAAAAAAAGTGGTGTAAGTAATGCAAGAAAACACCTGTGACTAGATTCTGGAGGCAGCCAGGGCTTTCCTGCCTGCAAAACATTATTACCCCCTTGCTAAGTTACTCAGGAGGGCCTGTGCCACTGCTGTTTGGTTTGCATAACAACATTTGACGAAATTTTGATTAGCAATAAGTGTTTGAAAATTTCACAGCATGGGACTTCCTACAAAACATTCAAACAGGGTGCAGTGCTGGAACCTGAGTGACTGGGCTATCACAGTTTGGGTATAAGAAACTGACTAGACTGCCTAAGGAGTTACCCAGTGAAATAACCCCAGGTACCTTTATTTCAATTACTAGACCTTGATTTTTTCACATTCCCGCTACACTGAAGACTAGCTTCCTGTGAAATTTGGCTTACAGTCACAGTGGAGGGCCAGAAGGTGCCAACAGATCATCTAGTCTGGTCTGTTGATAATTTATATGGAATTTATCAGAAAAGAAAGGTGAAAGGTGAATGTTTATAATTAACAGTTTTAAATTATTTAAACAATATGCTGTTAACACTCCACACAGCTACCAAGTTGTGTCATATTTTAAATTTCCACTGTTTGGGAGATAGATAGATATAGATATGTCACCCACCTTGTCTCCTGATAAATTGGAATTTAAAAATACCAATGTTGATAGAAAATCAAGTTGCCATTCCTAAGCTAATTTTCTGTTTCTGGTTTTTAAAAGAGTGTCCTGCTTTTTTGGATTTTGCCTGTAATTCTTCCTACTTTTTCAGAGACAAAGTAGATGAAGTAGTATCTTTTATTGGACCAAGGTCTGTTGGTGAAAGAGAGAAGCTTTTGAGCCCTACCGAGCTCATCATCAGGCTACAACTACACGGCATCCCCCTCTTTCAGGGAGCATGAAAACATTATATAGCCCAGTGATCGGCAACCTTTAGCACATGGCCCGCCAGGGTAAGCCCCCTAGCGGCCTGGGCTGGTTTGTTTACCTACCGCATCTGCAGGTTCGGCCAATCACAGCTCCCACCGCTGGCCAGCACATCTCTTGGCCTGCGCCACTGCCCACAGCCCCCCATTGGCAAACCGTAGCAAGTGGGAGCTGTGATTGGCCAAACCTGCGGACACGGCAGGTAAACAAACTGGCCTGGCGGGCCGCAGGCCAAAGGTTGCCGATCTCTGATACAGCCTGAGGAAATATGTCTTAAAGATTGGGAGAAGTGAGTAAACTGTACTGAAAGACAAAAATGGTGGGTTTTTTAATATGCTTTGTAGGTCTCATGGGTGACGTACTTCAGTCTCTCTCAGCATTTATGGAGCTCAACTTTGAAATAAATATTGTTGCCTGTAGTCTAAGCACTATAGGACAGCCCTTCTCCTTAGCTCCCTCCCCCAAACCCATGATCAGAATGAATTATCAGAATATTGGAGGAAAAAATATATATAAAATATCTTTAAGTGCCAACAGGGTGTTCAGCACTTTTCCAGACAGTCTCTTCTTGAACGTAATATCTAAGACGGACCAGATAAATTACCCTAAAATATACAGTGAACCTGTAAATAAAGTCAAAACGAAATAATGTCTCAAGGACAATAGCATATTTTCTATGGACTTGGCATGGAGGTGTGTTGTTAGCTAATACATTTCTAGTAATATTACTCTGTGTCCTAGAAATGAAACCTTTATAATATACTTGTATACATACGTTATAAGCATTACACATAGCATCCCGCCAAAGTATTTGTCTCAAGATCTGTGTTCTTTTGTTTTCTTTGATGTTCTTTTAAAATATTTTTATAACGAGTTTGCCAAGAAGCACTATAAGAGCTGTTTGATAGACATAGGGAAAGTAGCAGACGAAGAAGTGATTTATAATGTCTAAGAACTCATTAACAATCTTTCCCCCCCCTTATTTTACATTTTTTTTTGTTTAAAATCCAGTCTGCACTACACACTCAACTATGTAAGAGTTCAATACAGTTGAACCCATTAATAGGTCTCTAGTTATAGCAGCATCCCATCTTGCAGTCTAGTTGGGAGCCCTACGTGTTTTAACCAGGGTGCCAAGCTGTATTTAAGGCATTAGCAGGGAGAGTGGTTGCTTTGGATAAGCTATTACCAGCAGGAGAGTGAGTTTTTGTGTGTGTGTTTTTTTGAAAAAAGGGGGCTGGGGGGGGGTGAGAAAACCTGTATTTGTGCTGGAAATGGCCCACCTTGATTTTCATACACATTGTGAGGAGAGTGGTCACTTTGGATGAGCTATTACCAGCAGGAGAGTGAGTTTCTGTGTGTGGTTTTTGGAGGGGGGTGGGGGAGTGAGAAAACCTGGATTTGTGCTAGAAATGGCCCACCTTGATTATCATAGACATTTTAAAGAGAGTGGTCACTTTGGATGGGCTATTACCAGCAGGAGAGTGAGTTTGGGGGGCGGGGGGGGCGGAGGGTGAGAAAACCTGGATTTGTGCTGGAAATGGCCCAACTTGATGATCACTTTAGATAAGCTATTACCAGCAGGAGAGTGGGGTGGGAGGAGGTATTGTTTCATGGTCTCTGTGTATATAATGTCTTCTGCAGTTTCCACAGTATGCATCCGATGAAGTGAGCTGTAGCTCACGAAAGCTCATGCTCAAATAAATTGGTTAGTCTCTAAGGTGCCACAAGTACTCCTTTTCTTTTTGCGAATACAGACTAACACGGCTGTTACTCTGAAACTTCAAACATGGTTATGCTCCTGCCTGTGCTGCAAGATGGGACTTTTGCTATAATTATGTGTCGACTTAACATTAATGACTGGATGCCCCACACATGTACCCTTGTAATGTAGACAGAATTCAAATTACCTTAGATAAGTGAAATTTTAAAAAACTATTTACTTTTCACTATTTGTAATGTTAGCTTACCTTAAACAAAACACATTTTCTAGTCAGTTTTCCTTTTTTGGTCTTTGAGCACCAGCACAGACCTGCTATGTTTAGAATCAACGGTTCTGGGGAATATTTAAACACTTTCCAATTATATTTTTAAAAGTTCATAAAAACATTTATGCTTGTTATGTTTTGTAAATTCCTTTTTCAAACATCCTAAGTGTTGGGCCTAAACTTTCTCCCTTTTATATTTTTCTGATGTTAGCATACCTTTTTAGAATGTTTGAAACAAAACACAGTACAAGAACTTTTTGTTCACTGCATTCTGCAAAGACAGACTTTGAAAAAGAAACTCTTGAAGCAGGTGATTGTCAGCTTGTAAAATCTCTGTTCTGTACCAAATTAGGAAATAGTTTTGGAGAGGCTATGTCTAACACAATACTTTACTTAAAGTCCCTCAACTATTGCCACTCCACAATGGTATGATGAAAGAGCTAACAGACATTGAAAGTGTTGTGGTGGTCTATTTTTTTTATGTAAACTATGTCTTAATTTAGAAAGTTTTAATAGGGTTACAATCTTGGCCATATAAATATCAGAAACAATACAATACAATAATCATTAGAGAAACAAACAGCGATACAATCATTGGATCTTTCTACTTAACAGGGTGTTACCATGTTACAGAATGAGCATGTTTATAGTACCCATGACATGTTATTTCTAGTGATTTTATTAAATTGAGTGAATTCTGATTACACATTTAACAAACCAGGCATGTCTATCAAATGTGAATATTCAAAAAATTGGATAGGTTTGCTTGGTTGTGGTGGGTTGTTGTTGTTCGGTTTTTTTGGTGGGGGGGAGGGAGAAGAGGAGGGAATGTACTTTGAGTATTGAATAAATGGTAACCAAATATCTAAGTATCTGTTTGTACTCAGTTTTTCCCATAACAACCACTTCCATATTTTTTTCAGCTATTCCTCTACATTGGACTATTTGTCTTTTTCCAGTAGGAGGCTATCACTAGCCTACCTGTCAGTGTTTTAATCACTCTCTTCGCTCGACCAAGTCTCAGCGAGGTTACATGACACTGGGTAAAAACACCAGCCATAGCACAGAGTGTTGGACTTGGTGACTTCCTGAGGTCCCTTCCAGGCCTACATTTCTGTTATTCAGAAGCCAGATCACACTGGCGCTCTCACTGTGTACCTGCACAGGCAATATCCACAGCGGGAAATTTCAAGAGTTAAAAAAAAAAGTAGGGCTGTCAAGCAATTAAAAAAATTAATCGCGGTTAATCGCACTGTTAAACAACAATAGAATACCATTTATTTTAAAAATTTTTGGATGTTTACTACATTTTCAAATATATTACTTTCAATTACAACAATATAAAGTGTACAGTGCTCACTTAATATTTATTTTTGATTACAAATATTTGTACTATAAAAACCCCCAAAATTGTATTTTTCAGCTCA